TCGTTTCAACAATTTGCAGCACGTTCGCGGATGGAAGGCGGGCCGCTTTCAACATGTGGCTCTCCCCCTAGCGCCGCGAACATCAATTTTACAAGTTCGCAACATGTTCGCGGATGGAGGGCGGCTCTTTTTCCCAGAAAGGGCTTAAGCCCGAGGTTCTCTTTTAGATGGTTTACCCCCGGGTTTGACTTGAGGTGGGCCGGCGAATTTCTTTTGCCATAAATATCGAAGTCGAGGTGGGCTGGCGAATTAAACTTTGAGGATGTCTCGAGCGAAGCGCTTGCTTTTTCAGATTGTGTTGCGGATGTCTCGAGCGAAACGCTTGTTTTGTGTTATAGATGGTCTTCTCCTGGGGACGAGAATTCAGAGGATCTCTCAAGTGAAATTCTTGTTTTCACGTGCCCAGGTCTTGAGGATGCCTCGGGCGAGACGCTTCGAGGATGTGTCGAGCGAAATGCTTGCTTTACAGAACTCGAGCGGCCTGGGCGCCCCAGGATGCCCAGGTGGTTCTGGGAGTCCGAACGCAGCGTAATTTACTCAGGAAAGTGGCCCTGGGAGCGCGGACGCAGCGTAATCGACGAGGGAACACAGCCCTGGGAGCGCGGACGCAGCGTAGTTTACGAAGGACCGTGGTCCTGGCAGCACGGTCCCTGGCGCGTCCCGTGGCGAGTCCCCCTGGCACGTCGCGCGGCGCGTCCCGTGGCACGTCCCGTGGCACGTCCATTGGCACGTTCCGTAGCGCGTCCCTTTGGCACGTCCTGCGGTGCGTCCCCATGGCACGTCCCCTGGCACGTCGCCTGGCGCGTCCCTTGGGACGTTGCGCGGCGCGTCCCCCTGGCATGTCCTTTTGTCAAGTAGCTCTGGGGCTGCTAATATGTGCTCAGGCAGCTCGAGCTTAAGATCAAGATCAGTTCGGTCAGGACTCGGATGCAAAGGAGGACTCGATCTACAACGCTATAGAGCACAATCGCGGCACGTCACATCGCAATTCAGCACGGCGCAGCACAGCACAGCCCTCTGCACGGTACACCAAGATCGATACACATCATTGCAACTTGGCGCGTTCACTTGCACGTTTCGTGGCGCGTCACGTGGCGAGTCCCCCTGGCACGTCGCGCAGCGCGTCCCCTGGCACATCCCGTGGCACGTCCAGTGGCACGTTCCGTAGCGCGTCTCTTTGGCACGTCCTGCGGTGCGTCCCCATGGCACGTCCCCTGTTAGCTTAAGATCAAGATCAGTTCGGTCAGGACTCGGATGCAAAGGAGGACTCGATCTACAACGCTATAGAGCACAATCGCGGCATGGCACATCACAATTCAGCACGGCGCAGCACAGCACAGCCCTCGGCACGGTACATCAATATCGATACACTCAACATTGCGTTTGCCCGTCGCCCAATCAGGTGTCTTTGAACTGTTGCCACGCCTTGCATTTCTAGATTCCTTTCCGGGTTCGTGGGTCGATCATGTTCAAAATGTTGTTCTGGCCTTGCCGCCGCGTGCATTCGTTCTAAACGTTTACAACAATCTCGAGGGTCGTATGGTTGAGGTCCCAGGATTGGCGTTCTGGCGCGACTTAGGACTGTCATAACACGGCCGTCACGTTGGTTCCTGGTGCTTAAATCCCAGGAATGGTGTTCTGGCGCGGTTGAGGATTGTCAGGGCGAAGCAGTCACGCTGATCCGGGGCGTTGAAATCCCAAGGACTGTGTTATGGCATGGTTCAAGATTCTCAACAGGTTGTCTTGCAACGGGTCACTTCCCATACTGTAAAACAATTGCCCGTAGGTGCCCATGAAAAAAGGGAAGATGGAGGTTGATTATTTGCAAAATCGTTGATGCGTCTTGGGCTTACTGGGCTTGCACTGGTCCTCCTCCTACTGCCCCTCCTTCCTCCTCATCCTCCTCTTCCTCCTCGTCCTCCTCCTCCTCTTTCCTCTCTCCCCTCTTCAGTATTTTTCCTCATGAATAACTTCTCCCTGTCGCACGCCGAGGGCGGGCAGGGCGTTTCGCCTGAGACTTGATCATCACTCATGACCCTGAAGCTCAACACTTGACGGCAATTTCACAGCTTGACGGCGTGTGGTTTTCAACATGTGGCTCTCGCGTTCGCGCCGCGCACATTTCGTTTAAACAGCTTGCGGAGGCTTCATGGATTGAGGGCGGGTGGTTTTCAAAGTGTTGTTCCCCACATGTTTCGTGGGGTTCTGTTTTTTTCCCTGCCGCAGCGCACCCGCGTCTCACCTACTCCTCCCCTCCTTCCTCCTCCCCTCCTCCGCTTGTTTCCTCACAGCTCAGCACAGCACAGCACAGCACAGCACAGCGTGGCAGGCAGGGCCCATCCTCGACACCACAGGGGGCGCGCTCGGGGTGGGGTCGCTATCCGTTTCGGGCTCGCAAAGCGTGGCAGGAGATGGAGGAGGAGGAGGCGGAGGAGGAGGAGGGCCTTTTACGGAGAGCGAGCGAGAGGGAGAGAGAGCGCGGCCCCAGGGCAGGGCACCGGTTCTTCCCGGACCCCCTCGCGCTGCGGCAGAACCCACGACGGCAGGTCTGCAGTTATTCTTCTCCTGGCCTCGTGGGGGCCCTCGCGGGGCCTCGCGGGGCGTGAGCAAACTGAAACGTCACGAGGGCGGCCTCCGGGGGCCCTCGCGGGGCCTCGGGGGCGTCAACAGAAACGACTCGGGATGAGGAGCCGGTCCCAGGAAACGGGTCCAGACCTCTGGGGGTCGACGCTAGTCAAAAAAAAAACATGACGTCGGGGGTCTGGGCGAGAGGAGAATCTTGTGCATGACCACGAAGCAGGCGGGTCATGAGGAAAACGTGTGCTGAGGCTTTGGGCCATTTTCGGGCTCCCAAGACTTTTGCACGACCACGAAACAGGCGGGTCATGAGGGACAGGGGTCCTGAGTCTTTCGGCCGGTTTCGGGCTCCCGAAATTTTTGCATGACTGTGAAGCAAGCGGGTTATGAGGAAACTGGGTCCTGAGGCTTTGAGCCGTGTTCGGGTTCCCGAAACTTTTGCGTGAGCACGAAGCAAGCGAGTCACGAGGAAAACGGGTCCTGAGGCTTTCGGCCGTTTTCGGGCTCCCGAGACTTTTGCATGACCACGAAGCAATCGGGTCAAGAGGAAAAAGGGTCCTAGGCTTTCGGCCGTTTCTGGGCTCCCAGGGCCGTCCGCGGGCCCAGGGACTGTCAAAAGAAGGCTCAACACGAAAAGCTGGTCCCCTGGGGAAGGGTCCAGGATCCAGGGTCCGCTTCCTTCATGCACCTTGCATGGCCCTGTCAAGCGTGGGTTTGCGCTCCGCACTTTGTGGCCGCGGCCGTTTGGGGGCGAAGCGCGGCTGCTTGGAACAAGCTCCAGAGCCTGAAGCGCAGGGATCCTCTTTCAACGTCGTCGACCACCGCCACCGGGAACCCTTCGAGGGGGGACCAGGGGCCCACGCCTGGGCGGCGGCACGCCTGAGCCTCGTCCTGTACTTCGAGTAGGTCCACCGACGCCCTTCGAGGCGGTGCAAGTGGTGTAATACAGCCAACCCGCAGAATGAGGACGCACGATGAGGAGGCAGGTGCCCGGGAAAGCCCTGTCGACACTTGGCGAGCGGGGCGCGGCCAGCGAAAGCGGCCAGAGATGGGCCGAAGGCGAAGGATGCAAGGGTGACCTTGGAAAGTCGCTCATCCTTCGAGTAGGGGGGCGACTACAACATTGAGCTACCCCCCACTTGATTTGTTCGTCGAATCCACGAGAAGCGCGTATTATGTTCGTAGATCTACAAACAAGCAGTATGCCACATTTTCGTGGATTCGGCAAACAAATCAATCTCGGGGTACATCAGTTTTGTAGTCGATCCCCGGCTCGAGCAACGCTCGGGCGGGCCACTGGTCGGGGGTCGGCCCCCGCCCCGGTGGGGGTTCTCGATGTTGGTGGTCTCTGTCTCCGTTTCTCCTCTGAGGCACGGGGTCCCTATCGTTGTCCATCGTCTAAACGATCCCTATCCCCACCGGTGTGGCCTGGGCCCCACTGGCCGATTTGCCCCCCTAGATGGGGATATAGGCTGCTCCCTTCGGGTTTCGAGGTGTGTATCCCCAACTGGTGTGGTGAGATGGTGGGGCTCGGGATGGGGATGGGGATGGGGATGCGTTAAACGATGCTGAGTTTTGGGGACCCGCACAATGAAACAAAAACCACCGCCCAGGCGTCGGACTCGGCCGCCTGGGCAAGTTTCGCACACCCCGTTGTCTCCCTCCTCCTGGCGCTTGACACTGGCGACCTCTAGTTTGCCGAGGAGCTGTGGCTGTCGTTCGCTGCTCCTCCTCCTGCGCCTCCTGCGCCTCCTCCTCCTCCTCCTCCTCCTCCGCCAGTCCTCCTCGTGCCCAGACATCTGGCTCCTCTACCCTTCCATGGCGTGGCCCCCCAGAAGTCTGGACCCCTTCCCGGTGGCCGGCCTCGCATCCCAGAACGTCCCTTTGTGGGTCCCGGGGCTTGGCCAGGGCCAGCGAAGACCGAGAGCGGCTGGAGACCTCCCGCCGTGACTTCCCCCACGACGCGGGGAGGCCGCGGGCACCGCGCAGCCCGGCGGAAAAGCGCTCAGTGCCGCGTCCGCTGCGCTACGCTGTTAGCTGCCTCCTCTCGGAGAAGCCCGCGGAGACAACGGCGACTCTCCCGCCCGACGCGCCTCCGCTTAACGAAATGGGCCCAGGGACACACACATCAATGCACACAAATCGCAGGATTCCCAATATTTTCCCATATTTTCTGGATTTTCGTCTTCCCCCTCACCTCCCATATTTTCCAATATTTTCCTGGGGGTCGGCGATTCATTGTGTCTGTGTGTTTTTCCCCTCCTGATTAACGTCTGCCCCTGGACCCCGCCCTGCACCCATCCTGGCCCCTTTCGTGAAGGGGATCCAGCCGTGTCCACGGAGAAGCCTCCAGGAGGCCTCAAAACGGGAGGAGAACGCCATGGAGGGCCGCCGTTGCGTCGATTGGCCCTCGCCCGAGCTACTCACTCGCCCGCGACGGGCAGCCGCAGCACCTCCTCTGGGAGGCTCGGGAGCCTGCTCAGCACGAAGTCCTGGCCGAGCGCTTCGGTGTTCTGCATGGCCCACTGGTAGAGAGATCGGTGGCGGTCGAAGAGCTCCTGCCCCGGCTCTGGTGTCTTCTGCTCCAGGTCAACCAGGACGTCCTGTGTGTGGCTCTGTGATGCGATGAGATTTGTTCTGTGCGTTTGTGCGTACATCTGCATACACATGTATAGGCACACGTACATGTGCACACCATGCACCGAGGCACGGAGTGCAGTGCCATCAGGTTCCCTCGAGCCCTCTGCATCGAATGCGATCATGCTGCAGGGGCCCAGGCAGCACAGACCCCCAATTGCCAAACATTTCATAATTTCCCGCGTGGTTCCTGGGGCGCACCGCGTGACTCCCAGGGCTTGTCGCATGAATTTCCCGAGACCAGGAAGCCCTGGACTGTCCAAGAGGGTCCCGGGACGGCACAAGAGCGCCGGCCCAGACGCCCAAAAAGGACCCCAAGAGGATCCTCAGGATAGCTCCGAAAAACTGAACAGAATCATGTCTCAACGGTGTTTGACAACTTTCAATGTTATCGCCCTTTCGGGCTTCCGATTCTCCAGGACGGCCCAAGATGCCTGCAAGATCTCCCCAAGACACCACCAAGAGGACCCCGTGGTGGTAAAGCCCCAAAACGGCCCATCGGACACCAAAGATGTCAAGTGAAGGTGTCTCGGGAGCCGTTTTGGAGCGTTCGAAACACGGAACGTCGAGAAGCCGAAAAACCTCAAAAGAGATAGGAAAGTTAACGATTCTTGCCTCGAAATGCCCTCGCGGGACTCCTCTTGGGCCTCGGGGAGCGTCTTAGACGTCTTGCGCCTACCTTTGGCGTTTTCGGGCGTTCTTGGGCCAATCCATGCGTGGGTCTGGAACCTCCTATGCCGCCCGGAATCTCTCGCCGAGTTGTCCAGAGCCGTTCGGAGGGCGGTGGCCCCCAATATCGTCCCCAGGGGTGTATATACATATGTATATATATGTACATATATGTACACACATATATATATATATATATATATATATATATATATATTCACATGCGTACATACACATATAGGTATATGTATAAGTTTACATGTGTATATATATATATGTACATATATACATATATATATATGCATATTTATATCCGCGCAACCATGTTGGCTCAAGGTTGCCATTCGGGAATGACCCTTAAGTAGATTGTGAGTCTACAAACCAGCCGAGTCGCACAAGCGTGTGGCTTCGTGATTTCATCCCCTCGGCGCCTATGACGGCATGGTGTGGCCCAGGGCGCGCTGGCGGTGGCCAAGGCGCCGTGTGGCCCGCAAACCATCCCGTCAATGCGGCACATGCCGGCCCATCGCGGTCCTCATGGCACTCAGCGGAATGGAAAGACCCCGACGGCCGCTGGCATTGGATCGGCCAGGCTCCGGGCACTGCTCCGCCCTGGGCCAGGCAGTGGACGTGCAAGGTGTGTGGGACCTCGTGCACAACGAAGAGCGCTTGCAGCACATGCGGCATGGAGTGCAGCTATGCGGAGGTGGCACCGCCTCTGGATACTGCGCATGGGCAGGGAGCTCCGCCTGCCACTGCGGGCGCGCAGCAGAGTCCGGTAAGGTCTCAGTTGCAAGCCCTCACCACCAGCTTGACGCAGTTGCACGAGAAGCAGATGCAGGACCAGCCAGCGGCGCCGCCCACGTCAGCTGGCCTCGCGGCGCCGTCCGGAAGCCCCGACCCACTCTCCAAGGCACAGGCCCAGGCCCGAGTACCTCGAGGCGGCCTTGGCTGCGCTCCCGCCGGACGATGCCGAGTTCGCCGACGAGCGGGCTTCCCTCGCGAGCCGCCTGGCCAAGGCGAAGCGCCAGGCCCACGGCGCCCCGCCGATCGCCGCGAGGCTCGACGGCGCCCGCGCCGTTTGAGCGCTCCTGCCGCCGAGGCGGCTCAGGCCGCCGCGGCGGCCCAGCTGCTCCCCCAGCAGGCGGCCGAGGAGGTTGCCGTGCTGAAGCTGAAGCGCGAGGTCCACGACGTCGAGGCCTTCCTGGCGGCCGGCGCGGGCACGGGCTCGGCCGAGCGGCGACGCCCGTCGACCAGACGCGCGCCGCCCTCGACGAGATGGACGCGCGCCTTGCGAACGACTCGCGCGTGCACCCCGACCGCGTCGAGGCGGCCAGGGGGCACGTGAGGCAACTGTCCGATGGTGTCCGCCAGGCGCTGCAGCAGGCCGAGGCCACGCGGGCCGCGGCGGCCGGAGCGCAGATCCAGCCCGCCGAGAGGCGGCACGTGGTGAAGCCTCCGCCTGCAGCGCCGATGCCTGCGCAGGCAGGTGCCCAGATGCGCCGCCGCGACAAGCAGCCCCGGAAGGAGTTGATCACCGACTTCTGCACCAGAAGGGTGGTCATCCGCACCATCGGCAAGGATGGCAAGTCCGCGTGCTCGGGGTTTCCAGCACCATCGGCACAGCCCTCCCCGCCGTGACCGGCGAGGTATCGCCGGCGGCGGTCCCCCGCCCCGACGCGCATGGGGCAATCTTGGCATTCAAGGTCGGCTCAGCGAGCGTCAAGACGTTGGGTCCCGCTGGTGTTCGTCGCGCCAGGAAGCTTGGTCTGAACGCTAGTGGAAAGATGGAGTGCCTGGACGGTGCGTTCGCCGCCGCTAGCAGCTACAACATCATTGGCGTGCAGCAGACTTGCGCGGGTGCCGACGTCACCTGGGAGCAAACCCAATACGTCGTCTACACTTCTGGCGCTACGACAGAAAGACATTTCGGAGTTGATTCGTGGATAGCGCGCTCCCTCGTTCTGGGTGCCCGTGTGCAGCCTCAGGTCATCTCTCGCCGACTATTGGTGGCGCGGCTTGACAGTTCACAGTGTTCTTTCACACATGTGGTTACCCACGCGCCTGTTCAACAAGATTCTGATGCCGACAGGTCCGCCTTCTGGTACTCCCTCAAGGCCGCCTCACATGCCATTCCGCCAACGTGCATGGTGTTTCTCTCCATCGACGGTAACGCCACGCTCGCCATCTTTTCTTCGGCCATCCCGTTTTCAAGACGGCGCGGCCGAGAACGCCAACGGCAAGTGTTTGCGGGGGGCCATGGAGGAGGCCGCGTTGGTCCTGTCCTCGATGGCCACGCCCGAGGTCCTCCCAGCGTGGTTCGGAGGTCTCTTGCAGCGCGAGGGTCGTCGTAACAACTGCGTGGCCGCTTCCCTGGACGTTGCCGACCACTTCGCCCAGGCGGGCGTCGACCGCGGCGTGCAGCGGGAAAGACTCGAGCGACCACCTGCTTACTTCCGCCGAGTTCCGTGTGCCCTGCCCTGCAAAGGGAGGGGAACAATGCCACCATTCAGCTTCCGCCTGGCTGAGCCGTTCTTTGATAGCCGACCCTTAGCGCCAGCTTCGTTTCCAGCGGTACTTCTGGGAGCGTCTTGCTCGTGTTCTCACTGGACCGGCGGATCCCGGAGCTCTCCATGACCGCGTCGCGGCCCTGGCGCGCGACGCCCAAGACGCCTCCATTCCGTCACTGCCGCTCCCGACGCGCCACTGCGACCTTGGGACGTCTCCAGTTACTGCGATGCTGGCCAGTGCGACACCTCCTCTGCGGTCCGCGCTTCACCGCGCTCGCCAGGCGCTCCGGCAGCAGACGCTCGCGTGTCTATGGGCGCGGTGGTGCCGCGGCCTTCTCCTTCGAGGCGCCGTGCGTGTTCTCACCCATGCCAGGCCCCCCCCCCTGGCCCTGCCCCTGTTCCCGCGTATAATCATCGAGGTTGCGAATCCTTTCCTCGCCTCCGTCGCGCCGAAGCTGTTGCTAGAGCTGCTATTAGTGCACATGGCAAGCAGGTCAAGCAATCTAACTCAAAGGATTTCGACTTCTGGGCTGCTTCGATCGCCGCCGAAGCTGAGCAGGTCGCTGCTATTCATGATCCTGGAGCTCTGCACGCTCTCGCTCGTCGCCTACGCACTGGCCACGACCGACCTTATCGCGCGGTCAAGGCCGCCAGTGGCAACCTTCTGGCCGACGACTTGGGCATCGACCAGCGGTGGACTGAGCACTGGTTCCATCACCTCGCTGGCAGCACCCTCCCGTTCTCCGAGTTATTGGTTGCCGACTCCATCAAATCTGTTGCACCTGGCGTCCCGCGTGCACTGCCGTTGTCGCTCGACTATGTCGAGCCCCTCCTTCGGATCTCCAAGAGGCGCAGGGCCACTTGGCCTGATGGCGCGGGCCCTGCTGCATGGAAGGCAGGCGGCGAGTCGGCCGCATTGTTCATGGTGGCTGTCCTCAACTCCGTCCGCGCACTGCAGTGCCCCCACTCTCATGAAGGGCGGCCGCATGCAGGATCTGTGGAAACGCAAGGGCGAGCGCACTGATACTACGAACAATCGCGGTCTCCTCATCCAGACCCACGAGGGGAAGGTGCGCAGGGCCACGCTGAAGGACGCGTTAGAACCGCACTAACCCCACGCCGTCGCCGACGCGCAGCGCGGTGCCGTCGCAGGCAGCGGGGCCGCTGCCGCTGGGCACGCTGCCGAGCTGCACGCCGACATGTGCCGCTCCCGTCGGCAATGCTTCGTCCGTCTCTTCGTCGGCCTGACCGCTGCCTTTGACACGATTTGTCGAGAGTTGGCGGTGGTTCAACCCACTGGCAATCCTGATCGCGTCCGTGCCGCGCTGAGCGGCGTGGACTTCCCCATGGCCGTGCAGGAGCAGGTGGCCGAGAATATCCAGACGCATGGTAATCTTCTGCGCGCCGCTGGTGTTCCAGCTGACGCGGCTGCCCTGGTCGCCGACATGCGCACGAACGCGTGACTCACCATGCAAAAGAGCGTGATGAAACCGGACGCCATCGTCTTACGCACCACCAAGGGCGCGTGGCAGGGCTGCATGATTGGGGCTTTCATTTTCAAAATGATTTACGAGGATGTTCTGAACAAGGTCCGACAGCGGGCCCGCGATGCTGGTCTCGTACTTCTCGTCGAAGCTGCTGCAAGCCAGTGCTCTTGGCGCATCTCTCCTAAACCTCTCCTGGCGAGTCCGGCTGCTGCGCCCTACCCGGGCGTCTCTGCTGACCTTTTCGACATCACATTCGTGGACGACGTCCTCTTCATGCTTATGTATGCCCACCTACTCTGG